TCTGTGTCATATTATTTTCCTGTTGTTGATTCCCTTCCTTCCCCCTCTGTTAATTGCTTTCCTTGAATAGTAGATTCATTCTATTGATTCATGGAATTGCTGTCTTCATTGTCTTTTTATAAAATGTCTTTGAGAACTTTTTGTATTGGTGGTTTGGTGGTCATGGATTTCTTCAGTTGTTATCATGGAAATACCTTATTTCTCCTTCAATTTTGAAAGATAACTTTTCAGGGCACATTAATCTGAGTTGGAGATTGTTTTCTTTTAGGACTTGAAATACTTCATTCCAGCTTTTCCTTGATTTAAGTGTTTGGCCTAAGATGTCTACTATGATTCTGATGGACTTCCCTATAATTGTTTCTTTTCTCTAACAGCTTTTAATATTCTGTTAGTGTGTTGAATTTCTGAAATTTTGACTATGCTTTGGTGTAGTTTTTTTTTTTTTTTTGATGATGGCTCATTGGAGTTCTATATGCCTTACTTACCTACATGTTGAATTCTTTTTTCATATTCAAGAAGTTTTCTGGCACTACTTCTGTGAACAGGTTTTTTTATTTCCTTTATGCTATCTTCTGAGTTTTTTATTGATTCCTAAAAATCTTATGTTCTTTTTCTTTGCATAACCTAGTATCTGTCGGATTGATTTTTCATGATCCCTTCTATTTTTTTTTTTTGTTTTGTATTTTTACCGGTATCAGAGATCGAACTCATGACTGCCTGCTTGCAAGGCAGGCGCTTATGCCACTGAGCTAAATCCCCAGCCCCCGATCCCTTCTATTTTTAAGAAGTCTTTCATTTGGTGATCTCTAATGCAAACCTGTCTTCTAGCTTTGATATTCTATCTTCATATTGATTCTACTGTATATACTTTCAATAGAAGTTTTAATCTCCTGGATATATGTTTGAATCTATTTCATAGAACCTGCTTTTTCCTGTGTTGAGCATTCATTGTTTCCATCACCTTCCTATGCTCCCTTATTTTTTAATGTGTATCTACTCTAGATTCACTAATTGTATCCTTCATTGTGGTCATTAGTTAGTTATCTGTGAAATTATTTGTGATTTTTTTTATAGAAACTTAGTCATCTGCTTTGTTATTTCTACTGCTATCATTTCAGGAAATTCAGGTGTGTGGCTTTTGGTTTCTTCTACTTCACTGACCCCCTGATTAGCCTTGTGTGAGCCTGATATCTGGGGCTTCATCTTGCTTCTGTGTCTTCTTATTTTCTATTTTTTAAATTCTGTTTTCTACTTTGATGCTCATAAATTGCTTATAGTAGGTAGCTTTGTTACTAATATCAAGATCTCCTGAGGAAATGAAGACCTTGCAGAGACATCTTCTAGGTGCATCTGGCTTTTAGGTTTTGAGTTTGTACCAAGATCCTGCCTCTTCAGTTTATTAGGAATGTGAATAAATTTGGCCTAATACCCAGTTCTTTGGTGCTGGAATATGGTATTGTTTGTGACCCCCAGACAATCTCAGTATTTGTAGATGGGGAAGAAGAACTGATCACAGCAGCCATGTCACTTTGGCTCAAGTACTGCAATCACTAATAACAATAACACCAAGAACAGCCTAGAAAATGATGTGGTAACTGTTAGTTTGCCACCTTATAACATGGATACAAGATTCATAGTTATATAGCAAAGTCTAAACCAAATCAGAAAATTATATACAGGAAATGGCTCCTCCATACAGCAATTTTAACCTCAGGGAAGAAAATTTAAAAGGTTTAACAGGGAAACATAGATAAATAATGGAAGAGAAAGAGATCAGGAGCCAGGTTGAAAGATAAAGATTAGGCCAGACTTTGGGAAACTTGTAAAGAAGACAGGATGAAAAGAAAAGCAAAAGCAAAAGCAAGAACTAACTGTAATCAAAAACCAAACAAAAACAAAAACTAAAAACAATGTTGACATTGTGAAAAAACAATGAAAAAAAAAAAGAAAGGAAAATATTACCAAAAGTAAGGCAGAAAAAAAGAGATTTCTCTGCGATTTTGTGTGTGGTTATCTCCGGGGTCTGCAGTTTTGTGGCAGTGTCTAACTGCAGACACATCTCTGTTGACTCTGGTAGATGGAGGAGGCAAACAGAGCCCCAACCTGTCCTGGATGATCTGGGCAAGACTGCAGTACCATTAGGGCAGGGTGACAGCTCAGTGGCTTTCACTTCCACAGAAGTTCAGGCAGATCCTGCTTCTGACTGTGAGGTTGGGGCCTGAGCTGTTCAGCCTGCAGCATTCTGGTTGTGTCTTGCTGACCTGGCCTCTGCTCCCTGACCCTGGGATGTGTCCCACAGTTGTGCCTCAGCCAGTCAGTGGAGCCTTTGGGACGAAGCCAACGCAAGGCTGCTCTGAGTCCCGGGTTCAGCTGACCAAGCTCCCTCTCCAAGGGATGCTTGGACTGTAGTCACTCACTAGCCATTGTGGTTCACATAGTCCACTGCAAACAGGTGAGCCACTCTGTGGAGTCCTCTGGAGTGACCCGCCATGGAGGCCCTGGCATCACCTGCCTCCGCTGTGCCTTGTCTGTTGCACTACGAGCTGGGCGTTGGAGAGAGAGTGCAGTTTGCCACCTTTTCTTTTGTGTTGAGGTCTGTCTCTGTGGGCTGCCGCTCTCCTTTGAGATCCTTCCTGGATCATAGAGCTCCACCTTCCTCCTCCTTTTATTCTGTGAACTGTTATAGTCCAATGTGCGGATTCTGAATCACAGAGTCTGTCCTGCTGCTGCTTACTGCTCTGCTATCTTCCTGAAAGTCTCCCTGTTCACATTTTAAAAGTCTTTCCCCTTCCTCATCAGTTTGCTTTGGGTGGTTTCTCTTGCTTTATCTTCAAGTCACTAATCTATTCTTCTGTAATTACCAATAAATTGTTAATGCCATTGAATTCAATGTATTTTTAATCTCATACCTTGTGGTTTTTCTCCAGAAGATTGATTTGAATACTTCTTTTTTTTTTTTTTTTTTTTTCCCGTTTTTATCGGTAACAGGGGTCGAACTCACGACTGCCTGTTTGCAAGGCAGGCGCTTATGCTGCTGAGCTAAATCCCCAGCCCCTGATTTGAATACTTCTTACATATGTATCTTTCGTATTTCCACTTAATTTGAAGGAACATATGAAATTTATTTATAATTATTGTTTTAATGTTTTCTACCAATTGTTAACAGTGTTGGTTCATAATTGATTGTTTTTTCTTAATTGATTTTGAATAATTTTTCTTTTCAGTATGGGTCGTATTTTTCTACTTTGTATTTCTAGTAATTTTTGATTGAATCTTAATCACTGGGAACTATATGTTTTTGTATTCTCATAATATTTTTGGGCTTACTCTGTAATGTAGTTAAATTACTTAGCAGTTTAGTTTGTTATTTTTGGGTTGCTTTTAAGCTTTATCTAGTGGGACAACAGTGGTTGGGGTAGGGATAATTATTACCACCACAGAGGCCAGAACTTTGATGTTTTCTGTGCCACCACTCCATGGATTATGAAGTTTTGTAGCATGTTTAGTCAGAACCAGGGCTACCTCCTGATTTTTGTGAGAACCAGTTATTGTTACCTCTAATTCTTCTAAGTGGTTCTTTTTTTGGCTTTAAGCAATTTTCTCATGTTTGTGCTGATCAGTTCTCAATCAAATATTCTAAATGAGCTGGAGAAACAAATACAGTATTTTTTGGAATGTAATCACACTGTAGTAAAAAAGATGATCATCGAAGTATTGCCACATAACAACATGTATCAGAATCACTCAGGGTAACAACATGCAATCAAATCTCCAAGATTTCTCAAAGAAATAAAGAAATCTTTGAGAGAAGAGTTTGGTAACTTGTCATTTAGATTATTAAGGGATTCCTATGAAAGTTAAAATTTCAAAAACATTTCCCCATAGGCTACACAGAATACTCATATTGTTAGTACAATTTTGTGAAGTAGAAGAGGGGAGGGTAAGTTACCAAAAACTGGTGGAAGTTCTGCGGAATGGAGGAAGGAGGGGGCATAAGAGAAGAATGTAAAAGGAATAAAAAAATTCTGAAAGATCTGTGTCAGAATTCCTAATAGTATAAACTAGTCTTCTCTTAAGTAACTATTATAGATTTCATTTAAATATTTTTAGTTCACTGTGTTGAATGATGAATTATCAAAGTTTGTGTTAGCAAAATATGAAAAACAAATATTCACTTCATATTTGTATTTTTGAATCTGTATTTCACAATATGAGTTTTTGCTACTTTGTTATAAATGGCTAGCATTTTTATACTAGTATTTCCCATATTAATAATTATAATAATGATGAATACCATGAATATATAATAATGAATACCATGTAGCTAAAATATTATAAATATAGTATCATATAAAAAGTAGTCCTTATTGTTAGATGTAAAAACTGACACTTATTGAGGGCCTGCAATGTACCAGGTATTTTATGTAGAAAATGCCATTTAATCTTTACAAGACTCTCTGGGAAGAGGTAATATTCTCATTTACAATTGAAGAAGATATGACACTACAAGGACTAGTAACTCTCCAATTTTCCCAAGAAATGCTGAAAATCATGAAGAGGCTGGGATTTCAACTGAGATCAATCCTTTATTTTACTGCCAACATATTGCCTAGATAATTAATATTGATTTGGTCAGATGACAAATAGACTTCTATGTTTCTAATAAATTCATATCCAAAATGAAGAATTAGAGTTATGCCTGTTCATAAGTAGGTATATCTTTAATAAAAGCATTTTTAAAACCAATATATCCAACAGTATGAAAGTATATGTGCCTATGTGTCTTTATATATGTATGTACTATGTGTGTGCATTTGCATGTGTGTGTGTGCAGTGGTAGGACTAGAACCCAAGGCCTCACACTGGTAGGCAAATATTCTACCAGTGAGGTACGCCCTCAGCCCTGAATTTGCATGTTAAAACTGAACAGGAAATTTACTTTAAGTCATTTCCAATTTGTACAATTTTTGCTTTATAATTTCCAACACTTTAATTTACAGAAACAAAATGAAGAACACCATCGTTTACTGAAAGGGGGACCTTTCAAGTTAAATCTTTACCCAAAGGAATATTTTGACAGTAATCCTTATTTTTCTGATAAGTCTTTACCGCCAGTTAAAAGCGAAGCGAAGAAACAACCACTTCCTAAACCTTTTAAACCCTCTTCTCCTGGTAAAAAGGTAAGTTAAAAATTTCAGAATAAAAAAGTAAGCATTATAAAGAAATACAGCTTTTAAACGTTAAATTATTTTATTACCCATTTGAGTAATTAACTTTTCTTTGTGTGAATGCTAAGAATCATGAAACTGATTTTTTGAAGTTATATAAAGCCACAGAGTCTCACTAGTGTAATGCAGTAATTACAAATCACTTCAAATGTATTTGAGTTTACTTTTTTGAAATAACTTTTTGGTCTTAAGGCCTATTTTAAAAAAAAAAAAAAAAACATAAAAAAGCTAGCCATCTGTAATATTTGAAATGATGACTAAAACTTGCCCTGCCCCAGAAATTTACAACTAGTAAAAATAAAAATAGAAGTACTCTGCCAGTTTGGAAACTTTGGTGTATCCTTTTTCTTTTTTCTTTCTTTCTGTGAATTATCTATTTTCTCTGTGGATTTTCTCTTAGAATCTTTATGTTTTTGAAACTAACTTGTTTTTGAAACTAACTGTTCCTGTATTATGGATACTGTTTTTTTGTCAATTTTGTTAAAATTAATTTTTCTAACCTGTTGGATCTTTTGTTATTTCATTTTATGCTGTTCAGAAATTTAATAATTTGATATTATCAAATTTATCAATATGATAAATAAACTTTGTGGTAAAGTGCATGTCTTGAAAAATGGCTTTTTTAACCATCAATAACAGAATATGCACCTCTTTGATTTGTTATATTAGCCTTACCTTTTTTTCCTTTTAAATCTTTAAATGTGTTACACTTAAAGAGTGAGGTAAGTACTTAGTTTTCATGTTTTTCCTAATACAGTTTGGAAGCACGATGGCGCTCTGAGGAGGAGGGAAGTGCTCTGGGCTTCTGTTGTAGTGGCAGTTTTAAGGGTATGAATAGCCATCAGAACTCACAGAATCAGACACTTTAAGTAGTTGCAGTTTATTCTGTGTGAGACCGCAATAAAACTGATTAAAATTTTTTTCTAATCTCCCTGATAGAACAATTTTTAACACCTCTATTTTGAAATACCATATTTATGAAATCAAATTTCTTGTTCTTGAGTATATAGTTTTGAATTTTCATTGTGTTTGAGTGACTTGCTTATTTCTGCCAGATCACTGTTAATTACTATTAAATGTAATATTAGGTGGTCTAACCTTATTGCTCTTTGGAATAATTACGTTAGCTATTACCTCACTTTATTATCGAGAATTATTTTATAAAATTAAAAAAGAAAACCAAAAAAACTTCTTATGCTTGATTTTAATAGGGTTACTTCTGTTTATTTTTATAGATGCTAAATATAAGAATAATTGGTTTCATACTGTCTTGATACGTTTGATGCTATAGTATATGAAGTTACATTCAAATATTTCAAGGAAAAAGACACTATGGTAACTACTATTAAGTTGGGTTATTTGGTGGTGAAGCACTCGGTTGCTGAAATTGCCATGCTTTGACCTGTATTGTTATGGTGTTATGTATGTCCTCTTTTATCTCAGTCTCCCCCTTATTCATTAAAAAATGATTTTTTAAATTATCTTTTTAATTAAGGGGAAAAAACAAAAAAATTAGCAGGATATATTATAGTAACTTTTTGATTTCCTATTAACTTGATTTGAAGCCCTGTATCACTCCCACTATCTTGTTTTGACTGATTACACTCTGTTCCATTCTGTTTGATTGTATCAAGTTTGAAGGTACAGGCAACTACTTTGAAGGCAATAAGATTCACTATGATGCCCATTCTGGTTTGACTGTTATCTTCTTTTGAAGTCCTGTAATGTTAACAATGTTTAGATTTTATTGGTCTTGTTCTGTATTGTTTTGTTGAACTTTATTATATACCTAATGATATAGGCAATTCTTTTTAAGGGAGCAAGAGACAATGTTGATAACCATTGTTGATAACCTTGTACTCTGTTTTTACATCATGTGCTATGTCTATCCTTGGTTTTGACTGATAGCATTTTTTTGTCATATTTGGTTTTATTCTCTTCCAAAAAAAAAGTAATAAGAACTATGGGAGTAATAAACCCCAAAATGTGTAAATTTTGTTGTAAAAAAGAGAGGGAAAAAAAGTGCTCTAAAGGATACAACTGCAAGTGTGTTTAGGTGTGTTAGGATAGATGACCATATTACTAAGTTTTTGTTGGATCTTTGAACACAACTGTTTGCAGTCTCACTGTTTGAATGTCCACTTTGTATGCTTTGATCCTGTGACTTGAGCAACTATTTCTAAGATGACAATGTGTAATCTATTAACTGGTGATTTCTTACTGTTTTTTTTTTTTTTGTAGTTCTGTATTACTTGTATCCTTACACTGTTTTGTTTTTGTTTTTGTTTTCCTTTTAAATAAAATTTTAAAAGAAAGAATAATTGAGGAACATATGCTTTATTTCACTGAATTTTATCAGGTATATGTTGAATTTTATAAACTGATTGATATAGATTATCTTTTTTTCTTTGCTATAATGCAAATAATATGTTTCTTGGGATGAATCTTACTTGGTGTTGTTCTATTCAACTTTAATTCTGTGTTTTATCTGCTAATGTTTTACTGGGTAGTTTTGCACCTATAATTTTTGTTTTGGTGCTGAGGAGTGTGCGCAGGGTCTGTACACGTTAAGCAAGTGCTGTATGGCTAAGCTACACTAGCAGCCCTTGCTTTATAATATGAAATGTGACTGTACATTTTTAATGCCTTGACATTTTTGTATAAGTGGATGCTAGCATTTAAAAATTATTGGGGAAGTTTCCTTTCTCCGTTCTATAGCAGCTTAAATAGCATGAGAAATCTGGATTTATCCCCGTTACAGGTTAGCTCTTGGTTAACTTTCTTAGTTCTTGTATGATTCCTGTCTGTTTTCTCTAGTTTTTTTTTCTTTTAATTTCCTTTTGGTCAATTTTGAGCACTTATATTTTCTTAGAAAATCATTTCATTCAGTTTTCAAATTTATTAACACAGAAGCTTATAAAGATCTTGTATGTTTTGATATTCTATATAAATATGTCTCTACATACTCTTTTATCTTACTCTTTTTTTTTTTCTTCAGCACTTGGAAATAAAACCAAGACCTTTGCCCTGAGATGTATCTTGGGTTCTTTTTCATTTTCCATTTTGAGACAGGGTCTTGTTAATCACTAAGTTGCCCAGGCTAGGTTTGAACTCACAGTCTTCCTGACTCAGCCTTTCCAAGCTCTTGGATGACAGTGATATACTACCATGACTGACTTTTTTTCCCCCTTAATTCCTGTATTGCTTTGTCTACTTAATTTATTAGTTTTGGTGTATTACTTTTAGCTTATTAGTTTACCCAGGGCATTGCACATGGTAGCTAAGTGCTCCACTGAGTCGCTTCTCCAGCCTTTTTTATTTCTTGAGGCAGGACTCAGTAAGTTGTCCAGTCTAGCCTCAAACTTGCTGTCTTTCTATTTCAGCCTCCTTAGTAGTTGGGATTACAGGTGTGTGCATCACACGTGGCTTTCATTTATTCTTATGGCATCATTTGGCAGGTTTATTTCACCAAAAAATGTATAGGTCAGGAAAAGAAAACATAAGTATTTTAATACTAAATTTATTGAGACATCATGAGATTAATACAAGTTACCTTTGGCTTCTAAAATTATAAGAGGTGCTCATGGGTGGCCATTTGCTTCCAAATGAACTACTCAATTGTGTATATATTTTTTAGCAAATTCTATTTATTTATTTATTTTTTGTCTTTTTCGTGTTTTTCATTTTTATCGGTACCAGGAATCGAACTCACGACTGCCTGCTTGCAAGGCAGGCGCTTATGCCGCTGAGCTAAATCCCCAGCCCCTAGCAAATTCTATTTAATTTTCCTTTTCCATTTTTAAATTATCTTATTTTTCTTAAGTTTTCTTATTATTTTGCTCTTCAAATGCATGTGTTTTCTATTTGGAGAACTTGAGAAGTTATTATATCTTTCAAATGAATTAATTTGGAGTCACAGAGTTTTAGTTTAGACACTACAAGCAAAAGGATATCTAGTTAAACGGGGGCAGTTATAATTCTATAGTTTTTAAAATGACCATCATATAAAGGTAAATATTCTGACAAATCAATTTAAAAATCAAATGTTTGCCCTATATATAGGTAGAAGAAAATCCCTAACTAGATTAGCAAGTTATAAAGTAGGTCATATTTTCCCTATTTCCATGTGTTACTCTTACTTTTTTTGAAGGATTATATGTTATCATCATTGACAGGAATTTCATATACTCCTGCTAATGCCAAGCTCTGTTTCTTTTCCTATAAAAATAAGTACATTTCATTCCTTCGGTAACAGGTCCTCAGGTGATAGGCTGACTGGATGAACTTTCACCAAAATATTAAGGCTTGGCAACAGCTTGGACTATTACCTTACTACAAACATTTTCATTTTTATTGACTTAAGAGTTAATAGTGTTTTAGCCTTATAAAATCACTGGTAGGGAGACCCTTTGCTAGTATTTGAGTCAGACAGTGTAGATAAATTACTTTGAATATAAGACTAATCCATAAACTACAACAGTATGTATGAACTTGACAACCTAATTTTGTGAAGCAGTTTATAACGTCATAATAAATTCTCTTATTTTTACCTGTAGGCTGGTGGAATGAAGGCAGGAACCTTTGAACCTTACCCATTACATTCTGCTGACCCTTACACAGTCAAATTGGAAAGGGATATTTCTAGAAAAGAAGCTAAGGTTTTTCATCCGTCAGTGGGACCAAAAAGCAGACCAGTTGAAAGTATAATGGCTCTGAATGTCAGAAGGTAGGAATATCTTATGTTTGGTCCTCAAATCAAGAAAAAGTATTTTCAACTTTTAGACTTTGTTAGAAGAATCTTTTCCATATACATTTTTGAAAATGACAAATGATGTTGGCTATTTCTCAAAATGTCGCATCAATTGTGAAGAATCTAAATGATGCTTGAGAGTTTTATCCTTAACTCTGAAATAATGCTGTTGAGAGCAGAAACTATTCTGGCTAATAAAAAATGCAAATATTACATAATGCTTTGAGAAAAAGTATACTATTAAATGTTACATAGGTTCAGATGTTTGATATATAGAACTAAAGGCCCCTTGCGAAGTGGCTGTAACCCATTATCATGCTGTCCTCCCCTACGGAGATGGATTTTGTCCTTCAGCTAAATGAAATGCATACACCACTTTTCAGCTGCCCCGATGCACTACGGGTAAAGTTTGTTTCTTCTGATTTATGCCTTCTTTCTATAAAACTTGTACTAATATCTTTAGATGGAGTATATACTGAACTTCTTTATCTTTATAACCTGTGTCTTTTATGGTGCAATCACTTCTTACATTATAGTTATTTGATCTATGTAATTGTATTTGATTATTATATTCTTCAGAATAATATTTTCTGAATGGCAAGTGCTTAAAGTATGTGTTAAATGGGGTTATTGCTTATTTGTATATGTTGATAGCATTAACTACAGAATGTTGTATACATTCGTGTGGCCTTTAGTCCTTTGATTATCATGTATAAATTTGTACTACACCAGGGGTACACCTCATGAGGAATACTAACATTGATATCTTTCCCATGAATTTATTTTTTAAGACTGAGTCTCACTATGTAGCCCAGGCTGGCTTGAATTTGAGTTCCTCATGTCTCAGTCTCCCATAGAGCCGGGCTTTCAGGTGTGCACCACCACACCCAGCCTATCTCACGAATTCAATTTTGTTAAGGTAATAGCATGGGAACTATCTGAAAACACAGTGCATTAATATTTGATGTCAAATAAAATATTCCTCCAAACTCCAATACAAAATACTTTGACCATGCATCATCACCACATGATAAATAGAAGTTAAATTATATGGTATCATAAAGGAGGTAACTGTAGGCAAAGTAAACAATCTTCTTCAGATGCAATATTTAGCTAATCCAAGCTATTCAAGACTACCATGTGCTGTTGATTTCTTATGTGGGTTCAGTGAATAGGTTTTGGGAATATATTTTGAATGGTGGTAATATAGATGTTGTGGCAACTTATTCATTCATATTTTAAGTACTCTCCAAAGTACTTTGGTGAAAATTCTGTGAAGTACAAAAAACTGATCTAGCAAAATTCAAATTTTCTGAAAAAAATAAAACTAATCTGTTCCTCTGAGCTTCCCTTATATAGCCAAGTGATATATCTAAATACTGGGGGAATTTGTACAATTTAATGAAACTGTTGTCTCTAGGAATAAAATCCAGTCTTGGCTAATTAGTATTGACTTTGGAAACAGGAGATATGGAGGGTTTTTTTGGCTATGTCCTATGTCCAGCTATCATTATTCTGCATGACTTTATCTAATTGAACAGACAATAAAATTGAATTTACTTCATCACATCCACCTTAGCTAGATGGAATTTTATGTGGTTGTAGGGAGTGGTTCCAGGTATTCTGTGTTCCTTTCTATCCAGCTGGGGGAAAAAATTCCAAGAAAGTTCTGTGATATCTTAGTATATATGTTTAAAGCAGGGCAAAAGAGAAAAGTAATTGATTCTTTGGAAAAATCAATTTTTATCTTCTGTTTAGTAACTTTTTTATTGAAATCTCTTTTTAACTCAAGTATTAACTCTAAGTCAAAATTTAGCTTCATGGTACTAATTTTAAAACTAATAAACTTTGTACATAGTAGTTAACATTTACTCCATAATTGTTTTTCTTCTTAAAGTACATATCATAAAAATATCTGACTGTATTAAAGAGAAGTTTTTCAGTTGGTGAGAAAAAATCTTGTATCTAGATTGTTAATATGTTTTTAAAGCATATTAATTTAAAGTTTTTAATGCAAAAATGTTTATAAGAATGTTTTACCTGCACCTATAAAATTAAATGCACCTTCTTTTTTGGACTTTTAGGGCACTGAATGCGAAGAACTACAAGGCTACTTCAGTCCAATCGTATTAGCAACTGAAAAACAATGCCTTCCTGGACTCCAGTAACTCATTACCAAGGGATAAGTATATGAAAAAGATTTAAAAGTTTGTGGAACAGATAGCCCAAGCATTTAAAGGAAATGTAACACTGCAATTGTGACTTTTCTGGCTTTAGTACTGCTACTTAATATTGCTCGCTAATAATATGTATTTGCTGACTTACAGTTTTAGATCTGTTTCTAAGAACAATACAATGTTTTGAAATTTTATAAACTCTTAAAATGTGTCCTATCACTTTAAAACCTTTATTCCTAATGTTAAAACATTTCAGAGTTGGAGGCTAGAGGTAAAGTGTGTGGACTAGAACCAGGGTAGAAATTACACAGCAAATTCTGGTATATTCTTAGCAGTACATGTCTGAAAATTGTATTGATAGTTATCAGTTGTCATGGCCTATCAAAACACTCAACAGTAGAGATAAATATTAAATCCATGTATACTACATGATTCATGTATGTATATATCACTGTACTGAGATAAATGTTTAAATATACGTGGCATCATGCCTTCTATTTCTAACTAATGCAAAACATCAGATTCTTTACCCAGTGGTACCCGGAGACAAGTTGAGACTATAGGCTCAGGATCTTATGACTAGCAAAAAGGATGAGCTCTGGCTGTGTGGTCCTGTAAAGCTCTTCTCTGAATATCCAGACCACCTCTCTGGTGCATCTTACCTCAGTCCCAACCTTGAGTTCCCATATTCTCGCTTCTTCTTCACCCACTAGGACTCTTTTAAAAATATCTGTTCTTAAAATATGTTACTGTAATTCATAGTGTGGCCTATAAACACAGTCTTCATTCAATAGGGTCTGGAGCACATAGCATTTGTATTTAAAAAGAGAAATTTAAAATACCTACTACAATATATTGGGGAAGATATTTTCTATCAGTGGTGCTTGCTTAATGCTTATCCCTCTGCCAGGTTAAGCTTTCAGCTGGAAATCAGACTGCAGAGAGGCTATAAACCTCCTCTTCTTTTTTGGGGGGGGAGGGTCACTCTTATTCCAGTAGAGGTGAATGATATTAAGCCGGATTTTTCTTTTGAGACAGGCTCTTGCTACATAGCCCAGGCTGGCCTTGAACTCACTGTGATTTTCCTGCCTCAGCCTTTCGAGTGCTGGAATTACAAGCATGTCCCACTAGGCCCAGAAAGCCAGATATTTTTCTGACTTTTGAAAAGTGTCAAGATAGTACAGAGAATTTTTACTATTAGTAAATGTTTAATAAATTTTCATGTTTCATAATTAATCAGTGGTCAATGGACATCCTAAAAACACCATCACAAGTACAATGTGCTTCAAAGGTACCACTTGTGTTCAGAATAGGACTAATTACCAGGTGTACACAACTGATTCAAACTTAGTTTTCTATTATTAATATTACCCAATAAGCTTATAAATGTATGTATTCTTTTGAGATAATGGGTTTATAATTATAGACTGTATTAAAAACTCTGCAACTGCCTATTTTAACTTTCTTTTAGCTGCAGCTTTCCTAGTATGTCTTTTTAAGCAATACATGCTTTACACAATATTCATAGAAGGGAGCATCTTCTAATGCCCTACTGGACCTTATAAGTATGACAATTCACAGGTTTTATCTACAGGTTGCCTACTCATATCAATTTACAGAAAAAAAATAAGTGCAGACACTAGTTACAGCAATAGTGATGCAGATAAAGAAATGAAGATTTCTGAGTGTGGCACGGATCTGCTTTTGGCTCTTGTTGCTTTTGCTGTTTTTTGCTGCCATGAACTATTGCCCTCTGCCATGAGCCACCTGCCTTGGAGCCAAATGCATATGGACTGAAACTTCCACAAACCATGAGCTAAACAAATCTGTCCTCCTGGATCCTGGGAAGATGGCGGATTGATAGGTAGCAGGGTAGGGAGCCTCTTTGAGAAAAACAACAGAGATGCTAGAATTTAACACCATGGAGAAGACCAGATGAAAGGAGAGGGAGTCTCATGACTCAGGAGGAAACTGAGGAATAAGAAAAAGAAAGAAAGGAGGACAAATGTGGACAAAAGGCTGGAATCAGATACACTCTAACTGAAGCTGGTCCCGCGCTGTGCTGAGCATGCCGTGGAGTCAGATGACTCATGTTCATGCTGAAAATGGCGATTGGTGAGCCCAAGGCCCTTGGCAGGAAAATACGGTGCAACACAGAGAGGAACCAATGTGGAGAGCTGCACTAACCCGTGGTGAGTACTAGGAATTTGGTCCTGTGGAGGGGGTGACCAGCTGGAGGACATGTTGGAATTCGGCAGGACGGGCCTGAACCTGGAACTGCAGTGGCATCAGTCGGCTGCTCCTGGCCCAAGGAGGACTGGTGGAATCTGCTTGGGCTGGGTCACACCCCTGGTCAGGACCCAATAGCCAGGGACAAAACTGACCTGAACCTGTGACATCCGCTCAGCACAGACTAACATGCTGAAGGCACTTGCTGGTTGACTGGCTCAGAGGAGAGGGGCCAGCCCACATCGTCCCTGCATGCACCTCACAGATCAACAGTAAATTGGAAAGGGCAGCAATCCCTTAGCCAGCATGCTTCAGAAAAACCATAAGCAATACAGAAAGAGCCTGAGACCTCCACCATACAGCTGTCTGAAAGAAACCAGAAACATGACAAGAGACAGAAACAAGAAAAAGCCTCCAGCCACTGACCAGGGAAAATAAGTCCAGGAGAGGTAAATGCAAAAGAGATCAAGGGCAGCAAACATGCAGTATCAGACACAGCATCAGCGGACATAAAGAAATACCTTCGTGATCTCATAGACAACCTTAAAACTGAAATTCTAATTCAAGTGAAGCAAGATATAAAAAGATTAATAAAAGAAATGTTAAACACCTCTCAAGAAGACACAGATGGAAGAATGGAGGAACCCAGAAAAAGGAGAGAAATTTTTGATGAAGAATATAAACAAAATCTAGAATATATGAAACAGATCCAAAGAGATTACCAGGAAATTAAAAACTCTGTTGAAAGCTGACAAAATTCCTTGACAGAAACTAAAGTTAGACTTTCAAAATGAAGGTAGATTTGCAATGTGTGATCGTGAAAGATCTCTTAAAAATAACAAGGAACTAGGAAGTAACAATACAAAGGTGAGAAGACAACAAGAGGATGTATCACTTAAGAATAAAAAATGTGAGTGAAGAAGCAGGAGTAAACACAAATGAAATACAAAGGCTATTCACAGAAGTAATTAAGGAAAACTTCCCAAAAGTAAGAAAAGGAAATGATATTTAGATATATGAGGCATATAGAACTTCAGCCAGCCACAACCAAAGCAGATCTACACTCAGACATATAATAATCAAGATCCCAATTCATCACAAGAACAGAATATTAAAAGTCATCAGACAAAAGAAACACATCACCTTTAAAGGAAAACCCATCAAGATCATGACTTCTCGACATAAACTATCAAATCAAGAAGAGCTTGGAGCAAAGTATTCCAAGCCATAAAAGAAAATACTTATCAACCCAGATTGGTGAATCCTGCAAAACTATCTCTCAAAATTAATGGAAAAACAAGATGTTTCTATGACAAAGAGGAACTGTGGGAGTTCATGACCCCCAATCCAACCCTACAAAAAATACTGAAGGATATTCTAGAGAGAGAGAAAAAAAAATCACCAGGATTCTAGCAACAGTGACAGAGGGGCCTCAATGAACAGGGCAGACAGTGGAATGAAGGAGAAAAATAGACAACCAACAGCAGAAAAATAGCATAGCATAGATGAGGCAGAGAAGGTTGGCTATGATCTGTTAACACAGATGACCTTGATACACTAACAAAAAGAAACACAGGCAGAGTAGATCAGGAGATAGGGTCCATTGAGATTCTCTGAATAGGAAATATAGTCTACCTGAAACAGGGTTAATTAACCAAAAGTCAAAGATGAGAAAACAATGCTGTGTGTGACAGGGAACCAGAGAGAAATAGGAACAGCTCGTCCAGCAGCTGCAGATAGGTTGGAAAGACATGACACTTTTGTGCAGGGGAGAACTACTCAGCTAAAAGGAAGGAAAACCTTGAGGCTTTAGTAGGTAAAAGAATACAGTTCAAGATCAAGTTCAGGGGTAAGGGTTCAGAACCACTTAGGTAGATAATGTGTTGCCCACCCTGCCAATCTAAAAACTAAAGGAGTTAGACCCAAAATATATAAAGCACCCTGAGAAAGGGAAAGGGGAGGAATTCTCTAAAAAAGGAAGGCAGAGGACATTGTTAATAGTGTATCAGGATTTAAAACCCACATTACTCTTATCGCTCTGTTTTGTTTGATTTTATTCTTTTCCAGTCTGTCTACTCATACTAGATTTGAGGGCACAGACAGCTATCCCAAAAATAGCAGGATATACTATGGTAACTATCCTTAATTTCCTATTAACTTAACCTGAAGCCCTGTATTACTTACACGGTCTTACTATGACTGATCTTATTTGAATCTGGTTTGTTAGATTGCTGTTTCGTCGATTGATTTTATTCAAATTTGGTATGCATGGTATTATCAAGTCTAAGAGCAGAGGCAACTACTCTGAAAGCAAGATGCAATAGGATACACATTCCTGTTTGATTATTAACTGCCTTTGAAGTCCTATAATGTCTCCAATGTTTTGTTTTTATTAGTATTGCTATGTAGTGCTACGTTCAATTATATTATGCCTGATGATATAGACAATTCTATTGAAAATAACAAGGGACATCATGGTACTTACTGTAGATCACCTAATATTGTGGTTTTATGTCTTTTTCATTTCATATTTTTCTAGGAATTTGTTTTGTTGTCTTGTTTTGATTTGTTTTTCCCTCTACTACAGAAAGGATAGATATATATGTAAAATACATGTATGCGTAGAACTTCTAAACAGTTTACGAGAATAGATTATATAAAGCATGATGTAATGAACAGATACTCTGAAGAAGAAGAGACACTAAGATACCCAGTACTCATTCTGTAGCATCATGATATAAAATCTAGCAATACTATTATTCTCTGTCCAGAGTGATATTAGTCTGTTTTCTTTTGAAGCTATTTTGGACAGCTATTTTGAAAGGAATGAGAGATACTATAACAGCCAATATTGTTTTCCCTATTGTCTGGTCTCGAAGACCTAAAATGCCTTCATCATCCTGTTCTGATCAGTTTAGTACTGTTTTGTTCGGTATGAATTCACTGTGTGTGAAGATATGAACTATTTGGAAGAAAACAAGAGATGATAGACAGTGAAAATCTCTGGTGGTCTTGCTTTGAAATCTGTGTTTCTTAAATTGTTTTCTTATGATCTGTTTTGTTCTGTTTAATTTTATCCTCTTTAAAATAAAATTTTAAAAAATCTCTCTTCCTTAAAAGATTTCTGAGTGCTGGGAGAGGAACACACATTTGATTTAAGAGTTAACAACTATAGTCTCATTTTTTATTTTCTTGCAACTATTGTTCTTCTTTAGCTTTGAAAATAAACACAATAGGTAGTTTCCTGGGAAACAATTTTATTGTTGAGACTCAGACAGGATGAGGTAAGAGTCAGTGGTCACTGGCATCCTACCCCCGGACAATTTGGACATCAAGTTACTTGGTTTCCCATTATGCTGGTACTCAGATCATACTGACCATCATGCATAGTCAACTATTTATCTCTGTTACAAAAATCCTACCTCATTTGTTAAGTGCTCAAAACTGAAACAAACATTATGAATATGAAGTTAATCATGGAATCAGGGCTTAACATTTAAGAGGTGTTACATAAATAATGCACTCCCAACAAGAAATGGAATGTTAAGCAGTAGCATATCATATACTAATTTTATGATAAATAAATATATGCAAAAATGTTTACCATCCTTGGTCATTCAAGAAATGCAAATTAAAACAACACAGATTCCATCTCACATTAGAAAGAAATCAAGAAATTAATAACAAATGCTGGAGAGGCTGTGGGGAAAAAGAAACCATTCTCCACTGCTGGTGGGAGAGTAGACTGGTGCAACCACTGTGGAAATCAGTGTGATGATTCCTCAAAAAACTAGGATTAGTGGTCCCATTTGACTCAGCTATTTCTCTTCTGGATGTTTTCCCAGAATTAAAAACAACATACCACAGAAATATATGTGCACCCAAGTTTATAGCAGCACAATTCGTAATAGCTAAATCTTGGAAACAACCCAAAGGATCATCAACTGAGGAATGGATAAAAAAAGGTGTATTTTTATATAATGGAATATTACTCAGCTATAAAGAAGGTTAAACTCAAGGCTTTTATAGGTAAATAGATGCAACTAGAGACCACACTCATAAGTGAAATAAATCAAACTCATGTGTAAGCATAGTTTTGTCTCCCTGTTGTAAGAAACTAAAAGAATAAAATATGAGGACTGCAACAGATATTGAGAAAGGGAAAGAAAGTATTCACAAGAAAAGAACAATTGGAATGGGGAATGGAGAAATGAAGGAAGGGAAAATAAATAAGTACACACATATACATGAAAGATAGCTAATTATACTGTTAATTTCTTTTAGTTCATTGAGATTGGTTGGTGCTTATACTGGCTGATTAATTTTGCATGCCTGTTTTATAATCTGAGCAACTACTTTGAAGACAATAGGCAATATATTAACTATTGTTAATCTTTTATTGTTTTGAAACTCTGTATCATTGTTTTTATTTTTAATTTTCTCTTTAAAATAAAAAATACTAGTTTTTATTTTAAATTCATAAAATGAAACAAAGCAGTACAAGCAACATAGGATCTCAAAACAAGACAACAGGAAATCCACAGTGGCTACTGTGATGTCTCTTGTTTTCTTTGAAATAGTTGTCCTTATCTTAAACACCATGAATTCAAAAAACCAAAATGGTGTAAAACTGATCAAAACAAATGAATGAAAGCATTATAAGCTTTCAAAACCAGACAATAGGAAAATCAACAATGGCTACCATAATGTCTCTTGTTCTCTTCAAAATAGTTGTCCACACCCTCACACACATTGAAGTAAAACAATAGAAAACAGACCAAAACCAGTCAAAACAAAGAACAAAACATCACTGGACTACAAAACAAGATGATGGAAAACCAGCAATGGTTACCATAATATCTTGCTTTCTGCAAAGTAGCTGCTCATACCCTCACACGTAACAATACTGATTCTTGCCAATTCCCCAGGAGAGGTTCTAGGCATGTATAAGACTATACATATACATCTATCCTTTATGTTTTATAGGGTTATGTTTTATATACAAAACAAAACAAAATGAAATACAAGAAAAATAAGAAACCAAAGGGACAAAATAATAACAAAGAGCCCAAAACAATGATATAATCCTTTGAAACAAGGTGGTAGGAACATAAGGTGATTATTTTGCATAGTTATCTTCAAAAGAGTTACTCAGATTACCAGAAAAATACTAATTCTAAAATCTAGTCTACTTTAATCAATTACAAGGCCATTGCCATCATATATAAAAGTGAATTTAAGATTATTTTTGGGGAAAAAAGTACTTTGACAAAAGTTTTTAAAACATTGATTTTAGAAATTTATTTATATATCTTGGATGGAAGCAGTTGATACAGTTTACTTGGAATTCCTGGAAATAAAAAAAAGAATGTTTTAAAGCTGGAAATGCTTAGTGTACTTCATAGGAATAATTCAAAAATCCTTGTTCCCTGCCAAAGATGCCTTATGTATTTTGGTATATATAATATAAATGAAACGAGTTTTAATCTAAAAAATAAAATTCCTAACTAATCCTGTTATACAATAAATCAGATGCAAATCTTACAAAAGTAAATTATATTCACCCTAAAGTCTCTTTATTTCAGTACTCTGGTTACTGCTCAGTAGGCTAAAAGCATCTTCCGTGCATCTGCTAATTGACCACAACATACATACCTTTCAAATCAGGAGCTAAAGGCCTACTCCTAGGACTAGAAGGGTCTTGGCAAGTATCATGGTTGTCTAAATGGAGTTTCTCTCTTCTTGGAATGTAAGCCATTTTTGACAGACCATTATGCTGACTACAGATTTTATCACTTAAACTCAAATACTCTCGTTGAAGATTCCGCATCTCAAATTCTAACGCATCCCTTTCATTTTCTATACTTCTTACATAGTTCTCTAAAAGGACTTTGTCTTCTGTGAGTCTACTGATGCTGTTTTCGAATTTTATATTGTCTTGACTGTGTTTCTTTAGTTCTTCTTTTAGGATCTGATTATCTGTCTTAATTTCCATTAGCATTTTAGATAATATTTCACATTCCTTGCTGATTTCTGACAAGCTGTTTTTATAAATACTTGCTTCTGATTTTGCATTTTTTATTTCCTTCAGAAGATTCTCTTCTGCAGTACATTGGTAGTCTTGAATAGTCTTAATTTCCCTTTCCATCATTTGCCTGGCAGCAGTAGATTCTTGTAATGTTGTTTCAAGATTTGATTTTTCACTTTTAATGGTTTCTATTATTTGAATAAGTGTGTTTTGTTCAGTCATTGCCAATCTTTCTTTCTCTTTTAGCTGCATGATTTCCAGCTGTCTTTCTTTTAGTTCATTTTCAACTAAACTTTTGTCCTGTAGAAGTTGGTATGCTTTTTTCTCCAACATTTCTTTTTCATCTTGTATCAACAGAATGTTTGTTTTCATTGCTTCCATTTCTATACTCAGTCGATTATTTTCATTATTGACAATCACCATATCATTTTGAGTTTTATGCTCTTTACTTTTTAATTCATTTAATTCTTCTATCATTTGTTGCTTCTCCAAAGAAAGCTGACTCAGTTTTTCTTCTAGCATTTTATTTTGGTCTTGGAGAACATTGTGTTTACTAATTATTTTCTTAAGCCCTTTAAGATATTCTTTGCTATCTTTTTCTGTTTTAAGTAACTTGGACTGAATAGCGTTCTTTTCTTCAACCATATTCTTATGTTGCTTTTCATATGTCTCAATTTTCTGTATAAGAGATTGTGTCGTCAAGATAAGAGGTTTCATTTTGGTCTTAAGGATTAGATTCTCGTTCTCTAGTTCTGTCACTTTTTTCTGTAACTGCATAGATTCTTTGAGGTAATTTTGTAAGTACTGAATTTTTGCAACACACTGCTCAGTAACAGAATTGAACTTGGATGTTTTCTCATTTTCAAGTAGTACTGATCCTTGTTTTACTGCAGACGGTGGTGCTTCTGTGTCTTTTATTTTACATTTTGTTTGGTCGAGGGATGACAGTGTTTGTCCTGGAACTCTGGAATGGAACCTTGTATCTGTAATAATATTGCCACTGATAGGAATATCTTTATGTTTTTTCTCATTCTTTTTACCCCTGTGTATTTCACTCTTAGATAATTTTTTACATTTCTTACAAAAATGTACATGGAATTTTGATGCTGTTTGTTTGAGTGGGAGTAATTTGTTTACTAATGCCTCTAATTCTGCAATTCTCTTTAATTTTATATCTTCATTGAAATTATCATTTATGTTTTTTTCCTTAATAAAATTAACTTTTTCTTTGTCAGTGTGGGATATGTCATATTTATCTTTACTTTGAGTGTTTGTATCTGTTTTTAAAGTGTGCAGTTCATTTGTAAGTGCCAGTTCTCTGTTGTGTGACTTTTGAAGTGCTTCTTTCATTTGTTTAATAGAGTGGCAAATATCATCTAAATTTTCACAAAATCCGTGCTTCAGAAAAGGCACGGTAATTTTAGATTTGTCGAGAATTATTGTATTGGCCTGAGACATCACATTTTGAGGTACTGCAGGCAGAAAACTATAAATATTATTATAATTCTTCAATATATCAGACTTTTCTGAAGGGTTCATAATTATATTTGAAGCTGAATTATCTGTGGAAGACATTACATTCTCAAGAGTTACTGCATCCTTGAAATGTATCTGAGATGGAATATTTATACTTTGAGAGAGACTGTTAACATTATTGCTACTGAATTTTTCTTCCATTGAATGAAATGTTTTGGAATCTTCTAAATGATGAATTTTCTCCTTTGAAAGGATTTCTTCATGCTTCTCTATAGGCTATAATAGTAAAAGTACATGATAAATATACTATCATTTCCCCCTGGCCAAGAAATTAAGATAATATTTTGTGGAGGATTTTTCTTACTTAATCAAACAAGTATTTTATCCATTTTTTACACTAAAAAATCCTAGCAGATATGATTTTTTCCCAAAAAATTAAATAAGATGCTTTTGCAGTGTGTATCCCTAGATTGGCATGGACCACAACAGTTATTTACTTAGAATTTTACTTATTTCCTAAAGGATGAGCCTTCAAATACAGAAATTTAGATCCTTTAAGAGACCATCATAGGTAGGTGGGGAAGGACACAGATCAAACAGGAGTTTAAGAAAACAAACATTTCTATTTCAGGAGTGATTGTCAACCTTTCCTAGCACTTCTAGCTGTGGATGATTTTAGGACTGTGATTCTCCTGGAGACTGATTTTGAATTAGTGTGGAACAGCGATAATCACTCTGTTTAGGGCTGTTCTAGAGAGTGCAGTGTAGGTCTTCGTCAGTCCTTAGTGGGCAGACAGGCTGTGTAAACTGCCTTCACATTTACTAGGGAATCTTTCAGTGTCTGGACTAAGCCACACGTCTCTCACAGACTCTTGCAAAGAAATAATACAATTGCAGAAAGTTCAGAGCTGAACTCACATCTTTTAAGATTTTCAAGTCAGGTATTCCCTTATTTTCATCTCTGCTACTCCATTCTTCCTGTGAAGAGGGGAAAATGTGGAGAAGAAAAACTAGTTGTAGGAACACTTTTGAAATACCTAAACATAAGAATACTTTGTAAAGGATAACATACCATATCCTTTTCAGTGTGTGTGCTGAATAATAGATTTTTTTCTGAGCTAAATTGTGGACTTTCTACTTCAATAATACTTTTGTTCAATATTTCACTGATTTCAGATTGTACCTTTAAAAGAAAAATTCAGAATGTTAGAATTGTATTTCAGATTTATGAACTTATGTATAGGAATAAGTAACATTATAGTTAAAAGATACCTTTATACTTCCTACATATAAAGTTTATAGGGAGTATAAATTAAATTTAATTTATCATAAATGTTCACTACTATAGGAAACTAAGAAAATTATGTCATTACGTGAGTATAAAACAAGAAAGATGATCTGATACAACAGTAAAATTTTATGAATGGCATTCAAATGTAGATGTTAGATTTTTAGTGTTGAATAAATAAGTGATATTTGGTATTTGTCATCAAGACAATCTATTCTTTCATCCTTGGGAAGAGATTTTCTTCTCTTCCATTTCCTGGCAGTGTTTTTACTGCAAGAAAATTGGGATGACATTGATTAAAGGTTTTTAGTGACCATATGTTGTTATGTAGCCCCAATATCCACCCTTAACCTTCTGTTTCCACAGCTCCACTTCTCTTTGACAAAGGTCATGTGGCTTTGATCATGCTGACTTCATCACTGTCTCCAGGGATGGGCATGTGACTCAGCTCTAACTGGTCTGAGAACTGCCTCCCTCTAGACAGTGATGGGTTCAAGTACTGCCTGTGACCCAATCTGGGCAATCATAATTAAGTCTTATTATCAATTATTAAGAGAGAGAGAACTAAGTTTGCTTTTCCACTATCTGGCTCAAATCTGGATGCACAGAGGCCTGGAGCTCTTGGAAGCTCTTTTGCTACAATATGGAATCTGAGAATCCATTGTCCTGGAAAGAAGAACCAAGATTCAGAATAAACCTTATTCTTGATGACACAAATCTTGATCATATGAATTAAGCCAAAGTGAAGGGAGCTATTTCTAGAATTTTCAGTTGCTCAAGGTAATAGAATGTCTTCCCCACTAAACCATTTGAGAGAATGCCTCTCTGTAGACTGTCAGTAGGACTTTAAAAGCTCAGTATGTGATCTTTCTTTTTGGTCATGTCTAAGTGACAAGCATAACAGAAGAATATAGTTTCCTCAAAACAAAGTTTGAGACTGAAATATGCTGTGACATCTAGTAATTAAATTCTATATGAATATATCAGTTGGCTAGTGAGTATCGGTTTAGATGATGGGATGACACCTTTAGGTAGGATATTTCCTGTATATAGATTAAAAGACTTATACCATAGTAACATTCTGCAGAGTCTGCATTCGAAGAGCCTGAAATGATTCCAACTGATGCTGAAGGACCTATAACAAAATTAAGCACAGTATTAAATTGAATATTTTTAGGTAGACCTATATCTTCTTGGATTGTCATGACTTTTTGTATCTCTCAAGCTGCTTGGAGAGTGGAACAAAAACCTAATGAGAATATTTGTTACTTACACTGGCCAGCCACGTAGGAACTTTAAGGAGTATTTCCCTCTTGATTTAAATACCTATTTGAGATTACAGTTCTGACTTTTCATTGCATTCCCATGAAGATTTTTGTGATGGTAAAGTGGAAAAAGCAGCCATATGCACTGAGGAAATATTTATTCTAAACCAGATCACTGTTTACATAGATTCTGGCAATAATAAAATGAAATATACTCACTTTCAATGCTGACTGCGGTTGGACTTGATTTTCTGATTCTGATATGCAGTCACATTCTAAAAAAGTAAAATATGTGACTTAATTAGTACATTTTATTTTTAAACAGTTATAGTCGAAAGCAGTCTCTTAACTTGCTTGGACAGTGGAACAGAAAGCTAACGACAATATTTGTTACTTATACTAGCCAGCTGCATAATATCTTTAAGGAATAATTTCCTCTTGATTTAAATACCTCTTTGAGATTACAGTAATTTTTTTTTACTTTTATAAGAAATCATTAACTTCCAACACTAAATGTGGAACAAAATCTTTCTTTATGAGATGCGAACTGCCATCTTTTTGTAAAAGTAGTGGCAGGAACAAAATAGTTAATAATTCTTGTGTGCCTGAAATCCCATCCTTTGGGAGGCTGAAGCAGGAGGATTGTCATGCCTGGCCTACATAATGACTTTAAGGCCAGCTTGGGCTACATAACAAGACCCTGTTTCAAAAACTAAAACAAAACCAAAAACCAGATAGCAAACAAAAATAAACCTGTGTTATGGGAAATCTTTGGCAAAGTACCCTAGAGGCCTCAGTTTTTATAAAATTGCCAATTGATGCCTCTCCCTCCTGATCATGAAAAATGAGCTATTTCTTTTGCTTTTGAGCAAGACATTCCTGTGTTTGCTCCATTGAGAAATGTGTTCTGATATGCATATCTTTCATCCGGCTCCCAGCCACATAAAGAAGAGCTTTAAACTTGGAATATTTTCTTACCATTAGGTAGAGTCCCGACAGCCTGTGCAAAACTTCCTATCTTTCACAGAAATATCTTTCTTTATTTTAAAATCAATGTGTATTTCTTTGTTCTGCTTACGTGTGCATCATGTGACACCTGGCCAATCCCAACCAATTCACTCCATCTCTGTCTCCTGAAGAGAGAACTTGGGGTCTTTTTGTTACAGCCAAGAAGGGTGCGTGGAAGCCAACTGTACTACATTGTCTGCCAACAGTTACCCCTTGGCCGAGGGGTCTGAAGACTGCTGTGCAGGCTGAATTTGTTCTGCCTCTTTGCTTTGTGCCTCAAGCACTGTCACATCCCAAGCCTGACTATGTTGTGTCTTTGATGGCTGCAGTACCAACACACAATGGACGGAGTGCTCAGGCTTCTGCTGCTGATAGACAACATATGTCACATGTTTGACCCGTTCAGTAGATCTGCAGCATGGGAGAGACTACATATTCACAAATTTCCTGACACAGACCCCTCTTTGTATGTCAAGAAATTAACTTGCTTTTTTATTGTTTGTTTTAGGTTGCAGAAATTAAACTTTTGGTATTCTGGTTGAAATGAGCATACCGATTGTTACTTATGACTTTTATTATTATGTAACTTTATATAATAGTTACATTCATTATGGGGGAACTGGAACATGTATGCATTGAATCTCAATAATTTTTGATTCCTCTGTTATCTTCCTCCTGCCCTTCCCCTGATTTCCTACCCCACCTCCAAAAAGTTTATCTCCTTGTTTTCTACCATCTGTACTTTATTTTTTATCTATATTTTGGTGTCTTATAGAGGAGAAATCATGCATTATTTAACTTCCTATTTCTGACTTATTTTCTTAGTATTGTGGTCTTAAGATTCATCCACTGTTCTGCAGATGACATGATTTCATTCTTCTTTTGTCTGAGTAATGTCCCATGTGTATACACACACACTTTCTTATCCATTCATCTGTTAAGAGTTAGGATTGAATGTTCTTCTAGACTGACATTTTTTGCTTTTAGAGAAAGTAAGAGGTCAGAAAATCTCTTTGGGTGGACAGTCTGCCAGATGTTACAGAAGATAGTTGTCAACTACAGAGATCTCTTGTGCCACTGGGTCCACATCATCATAGAGTAAGCCTGCAAATGCCCAGCCTATTGAGGGGATCCCAGGTCCTGTCATAGAGCAGGGAGGGACTGTGAGTCCACCTGGATATTACTCAGCCTTGCATCTTGTTGGGAATAGAATAGCAAAAATGGAGCTGAACTAAGGCTAGATAAATGGCAGGAGGGTGTCTTTTTACTCCCTAAAGTTTTTACTCCCTAAACCGACCTAATAAACTCAAATAGACCATAAAAGTTCAAAAGAAGATATTGCCTAGAACTCACCGCTGTTAGGTTTTTTTTTTTTTTGGTCTTTTTTGAGATGGGGTCTCGCTATGCAGTTCAGGCAGGCCTTGAGCTCACTTTGTAGCCCAGGCTGGTCTCAAACTTGCAAGGATCCTCCCATCTCAGCCTCCTGAGTGCTGGGGTTATAGGCGTGAGTCACCACACCCGGTGACCACTGTTAGTTTTAAGAACCCATCCTTCAGCTGTCTTTCTAAGCATTTATATGGAAAAAAATCCAAGTGGTTTTAAAAACAGTGGGTTCATATTCCACATGCTACTTTTAAAATCAATTCTATTATATTCATAGTTACTTAAATTTAACAAAATAAGCTGTGAATAGTGGAAGTCATTACTAGTATAGTATTCAGAATAAATTTTAGTACATGCATGAGCAATTATTCCCTAATTTAAGCCTATAAGCTAGAAAATATATCACCATCACAAACTAGAGGTGCCTAGTATGCTTCCGTCCAAAACAAAGTATTAAAACAGAAACAAACAGCAGCTATTTCACTGATATGTTTGAGGCAGAGCATTGGAGTGCAGTAGGGATGTAATGGAGATTTTGCTGAGCACAGAGATACACAACAATCTTATATAAAAAAAGGAAATAAGCACATAGGATCTACCTCTCCATTTCCTGAGATCAACCCTGAGCCGAAAGGATTTTACTTGGTGAGGAAAGGGTAAGCAGAAGGCCTTTGAGAATCCCACTGTGCACAGCCACCAGAGGCATTAGCTGCTGTAGACCCTGCAGTCTGTACAGGCCATGAGCCATTTTCTTAACCCAAGTTGTGATCCCATCCCCTGAAGCTCTTTGGAGACACTGCACACCTCAGGTCCTTTCTGATAAGCAGCCAGACAGCTGTCTCTAGCAGGTCCCCTATCCAATCTTCAAATCAGCCAGAAAGCACTGGGAAACACTTGAGAAACCCATCCTGGATGGCTTGGGCTCCTGAGGCCAGGGTAATAGACAAGTGACCTTTCCTGAATGGCTACCTTGCTCAGACCTGGGGATACGATTAAGTGTACCCATCCATCCTCCTGAAGCTTTAAAAAGCATTTGAAGAGCATTTATTTCAGAACCATGGCTTACTGAAATCCCAAGAAGCAGATGCTCAGGCCTGTTCACCTGCCCTTGACTCCAGAAAGCAACTGAGCAGACTTGAGCAATTTGGTCATTGGAAACCACTCAAAATCATCTGTACAACCCTTACACACTCACAGGCACCCAGCACACTACCCAGCACACTATGCCATACCTACGTAGACCTCTCAGAGTGGCTCTTCCCTCATGACTTATGGAAACGGAAAGATACCTGCAGCCAGGTGCATCATGCCTGCAGCTGCCAGTAAACCTGCTCTGCAAAAAGGAGTTGCACCCTGGTTGGTAGTGCAGTCCTACAACTCTTGCAGTTTACGCCAGTGACATACTTGCAATTTTGACTATAGCAAAAGAAGTTACATGGACACTGTGTTAAAGCACTCACCTGAACTAAAGCTCATGCAGCATATCCAGTCAGTGTGTTAAGACACATCAGCAGCAGAAAGTCTTTACCATGCAAGGCAGCCAATAAAAATTAATAGAGGCCATTAACCCACCAAATGCACAAAACCAACACAGGGACATTGCACAAGAAGCATGAAAAAATGAGGTAACACGACACCTACATAGAACATAATAGCTCTCTAACAGCGGAACCTAAAGAGAAGGAAACTCACAAACCACCTGGTGAATACTGACAAAGAATGACTATAAGGAAATGAGATATAAGAGAGTACAGTCAATTCGATGCAATTATAAAAACATCTCATAATATGAGAAATTCAGCAAAGAGAGATAATCTTAGCATTAAAGGTCTCAATAAATAGAACAAAAAGTAACACAGAGAGCTTCAACACAATTGATCAGGCAGAAGAAAGAATTTTCGAGTTTGAACATACCCCGGTACCGATAAAAAGGAAAAAGACCAAAAAAAAAAAAAAAAAAAAAAAAAAAAGAATAACATAGTGGGGCTGGGGATTTAGCTCAGCGGCATAAGTCCCTGCCTTGCAAGCCTGTGGTCATGAGTTCGATCCCTGGTACCGGTAAAAATACAAAACAACAACAACAACAACAACAACAAAAATAAACAATAACGTACATTAAAAAAAAGAAAATGAGTATGAAGAAAGCCTTCAAGATTTATAGTACATAATTAAGGGTGCAAACTATCACATTATAGATGTTTTAGAAGAAGAAAGAAAAAAGCTTAGAAAATTTACTCAATGAAATAATTGTTGAAACCCGTCCAAATCTTGGGAAAGGTATGGAATAAAATTCAGGAAGCTCAAAGTATCTACTATAGGTTAAGCAACAACAACAACAATAACAACAAGAATGCTGTCTGAGGAATATTATAGTCAAACTGTTAAAAGTACCAGAGAGAATATCAAGGCAGCAAGTGAAAGCATAGATACCTGTTGTAAGGTACTGTTGTGCACAGATAATAGTAGATGTCTCAGCAGAAACTTTATACTGCAGGAGAGAATGCTATGATACATTTAAAATCCTGAAAGAGAAATGCTAACAAAGAATACTATATCCAACAAAACTATCCTTCAGAAATGAAGGATAAATAGATTTTCCAAGACAAGCTAACCTTAGGGTATTTATCAACCTAAGACTGGCTTTACAAGAAATATTTTCACTACATCAGAAGTGTAGTGAAAACCAGAAGTGTTTTTATGATGATAGCCTCCACAAAACTCAGCAAAAAAGCATGTACACAAAAGAGAATCAAACCTTATCAGTAAAGAAAACCACCAAATCAGAAAGGTTAGAAACAGCAGAAGAAAGGAACAAACAATACGTGAAATGGAAAAAGTTCACAAATGACAGGAATATGAATTTGCTTATTAATATAACCTTAAA